GTATGCTCCCTTGATGTCCAAATAAGCTAACCACAACAGAGTTTGATTCTTGATTGCTATTTCTATACATTGAGTGGTGACGAATAAGTTATCTTCCAGTCTTCTATCTCTTCGGAATCCATTTTGAATCTCACCCAGTATTTGCGTATCTTCTACCCATTCCTGCATTTTCTGCTTTACAATCTGCATAGCTAATCTGTAAAGAACTGAGGTTACCGTTATCGGGCGATATGACTTAATGCTGTCTTTGTTTTCTTTGCCTTTATATATTAGTCTCATTCTACTTAGTTTCCAATCATTGGGTACTTCTCCTTTCATAATTGCCTGATTAATCACCTGCCGTAACTTCAATTTGCTTGTTTTTCCTAGTGTCTTTATGAGTTCCATGGGTATGTTGTCAGGGCCTGTTGCTGTACCTGCTGGAACCTTACTTTCTGCCTTATCCCATTCTCTTGTGTTTGTCTCCATTGTTATACAATTCTGCTCCTCTACACTGCTGCTGACAGTGCTATCCACCGTCCCCCTCTGCTCAAGCTGGGAGAAAGCCTTTTCGATTGTCTAATATATTCCCGTGCCTCTTGCCCCTGTACTCTTCTCACCTCCTGTGTGGTCAGCGAGTGTTGGAAATCCTCTGTCTTTCTCCCCTGTGCTTTAATGTGCTCCCAAAACCTTTTTGCCGCATTCTTCATCTTTTTTATTTATTTCCATCATCCACTGCACTCCTGCCCTCCCAATTTTGGCCTGTGTTAAAGCTGATGCCTCCCTTTTCCGCTCTTGGATCTCTCCCATTTTGATGTTACCTCAGCTGGCAGAGCTCCCCTTTTTTTTGCCCACCTATGCTCCCTAGATGCCTCTTGGCGCTGCAATATGGCTGCTTTGACCTCCTTATCCCACCAGCTTTTTGGTTTGTGTCTTTGTTTTTGCTTTCCTCTTTGTTTAATTCGATGCTTCTCTAATTCTCTCTTAAAGATTCCTATTAAATCCTCATATGTCCACTCTTTTTCTGGTTGTTTCGATACTACGTCCTCAATACTTTTAGATACTTTTTAAATTTGAGCTTCACCTAGTTTTTGTTTACCCGCTCGTTCCTGGGCTTGTTCAGGTTCAGATGTACCGAATTTAATCTTAATTCTTTTGTGGTCACTCCCTAAGCTTTTTGTACCTTCCTCATCTATTTCCATACTTCCTAGCCTGTCATACAGTTTGTGGGACATGAGGCAATAGTCTATCGTTGAGTGCGAGTTGTTTCGTTCCCACGTTATTTTCCCTTCGCATTTTACTTGTGCATTAACTAACACTAGGTCCAGGGCATCACAGAAATCTTCTAACATTTTTCCGGTTGTATCTGTGAATCCATCAAACTCTTCTATGTGGGCATTCATGTCTCCCATGATAATTATATCCTGATTAAGGCCAATTTCCCTAATGTCCTTCGAAATACATGCAAAGTGTTGTGAATTTTCCTCCCTTGAGTCACTTCCTCTTTTTAAGTATGCAAACCCCAGAAGAGTGTTCAGACCTGTTACCCTACCCTTCAGCCATAAATGTTCCCTGCAGTCTTCTCTCTCCCTTTCCCAGTCCTGTCCTTTTACCAACGCTCCTAGGCCTCTGCCTTTCCTTTCCCCTGCCCTCCGGTTGCAACCCACCCAAGAACAACCTGGTATGTGGGGCAATTCCTCCTCATCCCTAAGATGTGTTTCTGCGACACCATAGACTGTAGAATTTTCTGTCTCTAATTGTTCCCCGATCTCTTCCCATTTTAGCCTGTTTCTACCCCCCTGCATGTTGATAAAGCTTATATTTAGCTGTTTTCTTTTCTTTTTCCTACGAGGCTTCCTCCTGCCCCCCCCCCTCCCACCCCCCTTACCAAAGTTTTGCCCGAGTTCTCATCTACCTTCGGGCCCTCGGTGGGTCCAAAAAAACCTTTGCCCTGTCTCCCATCTTAGCCCCGATACGCCACCCCGTGTGCTGTCCATAGTGTATCCCATCTCTTTCGAATCGGGGTGATGGCCCTCTTTGGTACACTCCCTTGTTCACCTCCAGTACCTCATAGCCCAGCTTCTCTTCCTGTTGCCCGATAGTTCGGTTGGCCGCTACAACATTTTTCTCGGTTGCTACCGACTGTTTCTCCACCTTTGGGATCGTGCACATTAAAATGTGCACCCCCTCAGAGACAGCCCTAAGCTTCCTCACCCCAGCCTCTATCTGCCTTCCCAAGTTGTGGCCCCTCCCATTGAGAACATCGTTCAGTCCAGCGTGTACGATCACCAGGTTTTTCCCCTGCTCATTTTCCCACACTATGTCCTTTGCGCTCTCAATCACCTCGCTCATGCACTTTCCAGGGTGGGCTAACACCTTCACCCTGTCGTCTCCACTCGCCCTGCTCGCTACCCCTGTGGCACACCTGGAGACATTAGAGCTACCAATAACTAGTACTCTCCGAGTCCCTGCCCCTGCATGCTGCTGCTCCCCTACTGCCGGCTCCTGATTTCCCACACCTTTGGGTGTGGACGCATCGACTTGCACACGCACCCCCGATCTGGGTGCGGGAACGGGGAGCTCTGTGCCCTTGTTTTCTTCTACTGTGGGGTTCATCCCAGTTGTCCCCTGTACGTTATTCTCCACCTTCCTTTTCAGTTCTTCAAATTCGGTCTGTGCCACCTTTCTTTGTTCTGCCTCGCTTCTCCATCTCCCCTCCATTTCCTCCAGTCTCGCCTTAGGACTACAAGCTCTATAAGCTGCACTTCAAGCTTCCCACGTTCCTCCCGCTCTATTTCCAGTTCCTTCTGCATCTCTTCCAGCCTCACTTTGGCTATCCTCCCTCCCTCCCCGGTTTCCACTGCCTCCCTTTTCTCCACTGCTTTCCTCATGGCCTCCGCCATCTCCTCTAGCCGCGTGTTTAGAGTCGCGGTCTCTCTCGCCTCTCTTTCCAGCCTCTCTCTCTCTTTCCGTTCGGCGTTGAGCTCCTGCCTCATCTCCTGCAGCGCCTCAGTCAGCCACTCGATTTTTACGCAGATCCGGCATAGGTATTCCCTATCCGTAGCCTCCTCGATCGAGCTGAAAGGGGTCTCCTCGAGGAAACACCATCTACCGCAGCCGCCACACTCGACGTTCTGCACTTCCGGCTCATCATTCCCTCCTCTCTTTCTTTCCTCGTTCGTCATGCCTCTGCGTCTCCCACGTCCGTGGGAACTTACCCGGCTACGTGACCACACGCGTAGACTAAATGACAGCAAACACTAAACTCATTCGTCGCTCTCCAGCGACGTGTCCCTCCAAAAATTCAAACGGCACCGTCCTAGCACCATGTGGCCCCGCTAAGCCAACTTCCCTGTCGCTACCGCCACATCTAGCCAAATTACCCCAACTAAACAATATCCCACTCTCTGCGCTACTACTTCATACACAGTTGGATAACAGACTGCAAAGAGTGGAAATGGAAAATCAAAGGCTACTTAGCTACGCAGCAGATCCGTCGCGATGTCGCATCCGATGTTGGGTCTCCTTCTCAAGGGGAACTCTGACGTTAAGCTCAATGTTGGCTACGCCCATGCCGTAGCCTTGACTGCGCTGTTGGTTGCGCTTGAATTCGCCCGCTCCAATCAACTGATTTCGGCAACTTGGCAAGTAGCAAAGTTTGCCGGACTGTTTAAGAAACATTTAGACAGAGCTGCGTCGTAATATTTGACGTGTGGTCTTCCTAAGCGATACTGAAGAGGACTGTATTGTTTTGTCAAAACCAAAAATAAAGCGGAGTTCCCCTTTAATGGCTGCAATAATAAATCCTGAACTCTCTTATCAAATCTGGATGCCTCAACTAGCCTCCAAAGCACCTCTGTTCAGATGTCTGTGGTACTATACTACGACTGCTTAGCATCCTAGGTTTAGGGTCTTTCAAGACAAACTGCATTCCAATGGCTTTGATCTTGTAGTGAAATAGACGGTGCTCTTGTGCAAAAACATTGCTAGCCTGTGCTCATCTTACGTTGCAAGCAGCTCTCCTTCACGGTAGTTTCTGAAAGGTGAAGTGAAAATGCTGCAGTCAATATTATCAAAATGGTATGCTGCGCATGGTGCGACACCACCACGGCCAAGCTGCATCACTAGATGCCGGCTGCTTCTTACAAAGCAGATAAGTAGATGCTATTTATTGAAATGATGCCTTCAGGGTTGCATTTTTTCACGCGCAAAATGTAGCACCCTTGCCATGCCTCGTCACTGCAATCAACCGCACCGCAATCAAGGTAAGCAACAATTGCGTCATCCTACTCCGCATAAAGTCATTGTGGAAAAAACCCAGTTGCATCCTGCCATCCCTTGTCTCCATTAGAGTTCTAAAATGGAGCGGGACGACAATTGGCTTCACTCTGGGCTCACGCGACACTCACTTGTTCGTGCATATTTGAATCGGTGCTCCGTGGACGTGCTCCGTGGACGTGTTCCGTGAGGCCCGCTTCAGACGAGGCGATTTCACCCAGCAACTTGACGTCGCAGCACCAGCAACATGGGCTGCCCGCGTTCACGCATTCAATTTTATTTTTCTTGCACTATTTAGACCAGGGGTGGCCAGGCAGACCCGGCCTAAGAGCCGCAAACAAAGCCACGAAACTTCCCAAGAGCCGCGGGAGGGGGGGGGCGGAATTTCTTGTCCATAGCAATAAACGAAACTCTAACTACTTCCAATCTATCCGAGTCAAAAGCAGTCCAACTGTACGTAAGGCAGTAGCACAAGACTACCAAACTGCAACCTGCCTTTCGATTTAAAACGCGTTCCATCTTTCTTTTTGGGGACGTGCTTGTGTGACCGGCAGGGAGGCGGGGGAGGGGGGGATTGGGGGAAGGTGGGGGAGGGGGGGATTGGGGGAAGGTTGGGGAGGGGAGCCGCGATCCGCACTGTAACATGAGAAGAGCCGCAGCTTGGCCACCCCTGATTTAGACGCACTGTTACGTGCTAAAAACATGTTTTTATATCTTTGAATGGCGTTGAGAATACTAGGTACTTCATCTTTTTGAAAAGGTTTATTTCCAGAAACAATCCATTTCAAACCAGAACCAAGTCATTAGTTGTCATCACCACCACCACAAGGGTGTCACATGAAAATATTGCGTCCCTGATTGGCTGCCGCTGCTTGAAACGTCTCCGAGGTGTTCAAATTGCTCATCAGTTTTAAGCCGGACCCGATCTCGGCAATTTGTGTAGATCTAGGGAAAGCAAGGGAACAACCCGCCAGCAACTCCAAAATTGCTGGAAAGGTTGCCCCGTCTGAGGCAGACCTGAGACTACAGAATTCTTCTTCTATCTTCTCCCCTGCCCTCCACATCTATTCTTATTTATTGTTTTATTTACAACACTGGCAGCCCTTTTAGGCTGTCTCTGGAGTGTGTTTTTATAACAAAAAAAAACAATGAGAAAAAAGAAAATGAAGAGCAAGAATTGTACAGCAACCAATTATCACAAATTGGATCAATCCTCATTCTGGCAACTTGGTAAAGTACAAAAGCACATCCAGTTTCGTCGAATAAATTTCTCTTGACCTCCACCGAGAGCAGCAGAGCAGCTCTCAGGAGAACACGTATGCCCTGGTGCCAGCGGCGAGACAGACGGTTGGCTTTGTCCGGAGGCCATTCCAGGAATTGGAGTACCAGGACCACGGCCGGTGGGAATTCGCTTCCTTGGGCGGCACGAGGGCAGTGAGGGGAGGCACGTCCATGTCCTGGGCCCCCAGGCGCCACAGCCTGGTGACCCCGTCCTGTCCCGCCGAACAAAGAGTGCAGTCCGTACGGTCATAGCTGAAAGGGATCTTTGTCCCGTCGTTGTGGTGTCCCCGGAAGGTCTGGATTACCTTCCTCGATGACAAGTCAATCTGAAAAGAGGTTTGTGCAGGTTAGGCTCGAGTGTTTACATTTATTTGTCGTTGTTGGGATAACATTGGATATAACGAGACTGGTACGGATGATACGAGCTCCGTTTCGTGCGGTTCGGAACGGAAGCGAACATGTGGGCACTGGCTATGGCCCAGCATCGATAGCTTCTCAGAGGAGGCGAATTGTTGTGTGCTTGCGCGAACACACCCGGCGGCAATCCCTTCATTTGGGGGCCCCATGCTTGCTGCCATATCTAACGAGCCTGCGCACTCCCTGCTTCCTTCATTGATGAGCAACAATTTGAAGACTTTAGCAGGGACCATTTGTGTACAGCGTCCACCAAACTTGTGTAAAATGTGTGATCCGTGCATTTTATAATGGGAGCACCATCCTGGCAGCAGCCGAGCGAACTGAGAACTCGGTTTGTCTTTCCTGTACAAGTTCAGCGAGCGCCGTACTTTACAAAAGCTTCAGTTGTGCACATGCATGGCTGGTCATTTTATTGTGGCCTAATCGGTGGGTTTACATGAGTGTTGTCGAGATCTCATCTTGACAGTGAAGGAATAGCTTTCTATCCCCTTGGTGTTGCATATGTGTACACTACATGACACAGCTGGTGCGTGAACATGTTGCTGCTTTTAGAGCGCAGCTCTTAGGCGCCCGTTTCAGTGCTTTGCGGCGCTGGCGTAGCCGCGCTAAATTTAGAGGAAAATCGACGTCACATGACCTTAACACCAATTCAATTCCCTCCTAAATATAGTGGGGAAATTCACTTTCTCCGCCAGATTTAGCGGACAAATTTAGTTTCTCCGCTAGATTTAGCAGGAAAATTGACGTCACAAGACCTCAAACCAATTCTATTCCCGGGGAATTGAATTGGTATTAAGGTCAGATGACATCAATTTTCTCGCTAAGAATTGGTGTTGGGGTCACATGACGTCAATTTTCACGCTAAGTCTAGTGGAAGAACTGAATTTGTTCTTAGGTGACGTGACAGCAAGTCAGGTGACGTCATTTTCTCCCGCTAAATATAGCGGGGAAACCGAATTGGAGGAGGAGGGGATGGAGGAGGAAAAGGAGGGGCATACTCTGCGCTCCTCCTCCTTAAGAGCTACGCTCTAAGTTCGCATTACAGAGTGTCTTTCAGAATAAATGTCTTTCATTTATTCACAGCTTACTCAGACATGGCACTGAAGAAATTTCACTGCAAGGAAGCGAAAAATGAGCGCTTTCCAAGAAACTACCATACTTGCTTTCACCGCGAAGATAAAGGAAATTTTGTGCATCGCTCGTACGTCGTGCAAAGTAGTTCACAATATTTGGTTGTTGGAAAGACCACATGCATTAGGCATTTGAAATGCGCATGTCTTCCTTGATGAGATAACTTACACACAATCTAAAATGCACCTACGTATATCTCCTTTCTCTACATTACGGGAAGAAGCCGGACCTTCTTACTACGGTTCTTGAGGTGAAAACGAGTATAGTCCAAGGTTCCCAGACAGTGAAACCAACATACGAAAATTGAGAAACTTTATTATTTGGCTGCTTCTGGGTCTTACAGATTAGAAATGCAAAAAAATCTGAGTTTCATTTTCAGATTTTAAAAATACCCAATGTATCAAATATGATACACTGGGCAGTAGGTGAACACTATGAAAATCGTAAAAGCAGTTGCGTTCTTTGTTGAGGCACAGATAGACATTACACTAGCAGCATGCAACGAAACTGAACTTGTCATGAGGTGAGCAGTTCTTGCATCGCTGCCTCTTCTCAGACACCAAAGGAAAGTGACCTACACCATCCTTGCGGACATCAAACTCCGGAGTTCTGCTTGCGCCTGCGCGTTTCCTTCGTTTGGGTGTGGGGCATGGTAGAGATGATGGTCTCCCTCTCACATTCTTCTCTGCCTTCAACAGACTGTCCGCCACGTCAGCAATGAACACGCGAAGCTTCACCGGCTTCATGTGAAGTTGCTTAGAGTGCCGTCTGTGCAAATTCCACGCATTCACTACCGCGATCATGACTGTGTGGTAGAAGATGTACAAGTACCACCTTCGTGACTTGATGCAGTACTTGTACAAAGAAACCAGATAATTATGAAGATTGATTCCGCCCATAAAGCTGTTGTATGCTCCAACGATGTGAGGGCGAGAGATCTCGATATGTTTTTTTCTCTTTTCTGTCCCATCGCCTCACGGTTTCAACAGGTTCGACAGACAAGTAGTTAGACACGAGTGAAACAGTGCGACTGTCATACCATCTCACAATGGCGATGGACCTTGCAGTGTTGACACGGTAGTCGAAAGAACCTCTGCCTTCTTTTCTGAGCTCCTTCTCGGTCATGAGTTTGCAGTCTTGCAGTCGGTTTTGACGCAATGTTCCTACGTAATAAATGCCTTTCTTTTGCAGCTCAGCCGCCAAGTCAATGCTGCTGAAAAAGTTGTCCGCTGCAACTTTGAAGTTTTTGTTTTCTGGAATAAGTGAACACATCTGTAAGACTGTGCCGCCTCCAAGACCGTGTTCATACTTCTTTTTACTTTGTCCCTGGTACACCTCAAATTGGTATAGGATCCCCGTTGTTCCGGCACGTCCCCAAAGTTTGAAGCCCCAAGGGGTTGGTTTGTTGGGGAGGTACTGCTTTAGATTGCTTCTTCCCGTGAAAGCTACCATAATCTCATCAACAGAATTCAGCTCCTCTTGTTCGACCTGTGCAAAGTTGCATTGCAAGCTTGAAATCCAGGGACGGAGTTTCCATACCTTGTCATTCTTGTCTTCCTGGGCAACGTCGCAATTGTTGACAAAATGAATGGACTGCATTAGCCTCTTAAACCTATTCCTCGACATGACATCACAGATCGGGGCGTATCGTGTACCGTTTTCCCAGTAGCACCGTACACTTGGCATCTGAACCAAACCCATCTGCAAGTATATTCCCAAAAATTGTTCCAGTTCAGCCCTGGTTGTGGCCACACACTCCCCCATTTTCTGAGTGCTGTAGATGTTTGTTTGCTCAGTAAGAGAATCCATCATATCTACAGTGACGAATTTTCTGAAGAACCCCAAGGGTGTATCAAGGTCACCGGGTTCGGAAAACTCCTCCGACAATAAACCTGGATTGCCGCTAAGTAGCTCTTTTTTCCATTGCCCGCAATCCACTGTTGATGAAGCGCACGCCCCGCCTGACATGCTCTCTTCACCCTCATCGTCTGACGACTTTTCTTCGGGATCTGGTGGAGGTTGTTCCGAAGTCAAATACTCCTCGTCACTGTCTTCAGAAAGGTCGATATCACTGCAGTCATCACCAGCACAGATGCGATTGAGAATGTCCCGTGCAGAGCAATCTGTAAAGGAGGTAACAAAACGCAAAGCTGAAACATCTGACATTCAAAGTATCCGACAAGAAGCGACACTGACAAGTGCCCATTGTATCATATATGATACACTCGATTACGCTCGCCGATGCCACTCATAGAGTTATTATAATGTACGCTAGAGGTTCAAGTGGCGCTAGTGTGCTGACGCAAATTGAAGCAGGCAGCAACCAGTCGAAAATTGACTTCCGGTAATGCATTTCTATGGGAAAAAGTGAGTGCATTTTCTCCCTGCGCTCGACCATAAGAGCAACTATCCTAAATAATTTGTACGTACTAGGTAGTTTGGAATATTTCTCAGTCAGGCCGACGAAAGAATTGGTCAGATACGGCGTTTTTCTCTTGAATTCATCGCACTAAAAACGGTGCTAAAACGGCTTCGTACGTGTATTTATGTGCACTGTTGGACACAGTTAGCGCGAACGCGGCGTCGGCGATTTCCAGCATGGGGGATATACATGTCAAACGAACGAAGGACATCTGGAAAATCAAGAGCAACGGCAAGAACTACGCAGCAACACCGGATCAGTAACTCGCAGTGCATGTACGATCAAAATAAATTGAAGGCCACGTAATCTATTCCGATTTTAAATAAGTGAGTACCGCTTTATTCTTTCTGTCCTGAGCGAAGCTGCGTGTTCTACGTTCAAAATATCACCCGTGCGCTAGACATCTTTGAGAACAAGTGCGCGATAAAAGCTGCCCGGCAGAGAAAACAATACGAAGAGACACCTTTCATATCCCACGGACTTTATTCTCTACGTTGAAGGTTTTTATCAGCTCATGCACGACGGGATCATTTTCATATGGTGACAGGACTGGCATATTATCAATATACAAGCGTCACCGGAATGCTGGCGAGCCTTGAACACACTCTATATTCGTTTCGATTGTAATTTTGCTCTGAATCGTCGCTTGTTTTTACACACCTGCTGCGGAACACACGTTTGGGACTGAAATGCAGAGAAGTTAAACATCGCTCACTGATGAAGAAAAATGCGCTAACTATAGCAATTAGACTTTTACAATGTTAATTAAGACACATACTATTCGGTACGACCGAAATAACCAAAGTGTTCCATGTTATTTTCCTGCGAAGAGACGAAATGCACGCGCGTTTTCCCATAGGAATGCACAGGAGCACCGCAAAAGTAGACTGGTTGCTGTCTGCTTCAATCTGCGTCACGGAAGTCGCACAGACACTAGCGCCAGTTGAACCTCTAGCGTACATTATAATAACTCTATGATGCCACTAACTTCTGATAACGTAGAGTCAACAAAACTGTGCACTGATCGTTCACTGTGCTTTAAGGAACAAATAGCGAATATCAATATCGCAAACTCACCTCCTGATTTTGCAGACCGACCGTAAAAAGTTCGTGTTGGCACGCCGGCCGCGTTTCCGCTGGAGGAAGCCATCTTGCGGGAGCCTGTGGGACCCCTTGTGGTGTATATTTGAACTACATTTTGCGAAAAATCCCGGGAAATGTATCTGGGGTGATACAGTGGGCATTTGGTTTCCAAAAATGTGTTTCGTATAAAAACGAAAAATGTTTGAATGGGCCGTATCAGATATGATACGCTGGGCATTACAGGGTTAAATGTGCGGTAAAAACATAAAAAAACGGCGGCGGCCTGTTTGTACTGTTTCGTGCTACATGGTGTGTTTAAGGGCGCGAGTAGCGTAGCTTATTTAGTGACCCTAGGCGCGAGATCATGCTGACAATGGGCTTCTCTTGTTTTCGTTTTGCACCGTGAAACTTATTATTTCCAAGCAGTTGATGGGTCAGAGTGACCCACGTATGTCGGAACAATGTTATGAGAACGCTCCCTGCTGGAAGCAAAGCCCCCGCCGCTGCAGGAACACGTCTCCCACTGACGTCACATCAGCCGCAATGCTCCGGTGCCCGTACAAGTCTTGCCGGAAAAAAAAAAACAGATTCGGTGGTACCAAATATATGCCGCTGAGGCTACGGGTAGAGGACTAGGAATGGTAGGGAGCAATGGCGGCTGGTACGGTGTCACGTGACTTCACGTGCAAGGGACGTCTTTATGTGGTCCTTTCAAACGGGAGCAAGCACCCAGCCTGCTCAGACTCACCGCCATCAGCTTGCCGTCGTACGCACTGGCCAGCAACGTGTCGGCGGGTCCGACGAGCCCGAGGTACGACACGCCTCGTCCGACCGCCACCTCGTACGCGCACCTCGAGCCTGGACGGTCCCGGAGATCCACGCAGAAGACGCTCCCCTTGTGCGTCCCCGCGTACACCAGGTTCCCGTCGGCGCTGAACACGAGGCTGAGCGGGTTCTCGCCCCGGGTCCACACATCAGTCACGGGCTCCCGACCTCCGTGGTGGACTTCGGCTCTTCGCTCGAGCCCCACGGCGCTTTTGGAGGCGTCCGGCGAGGCGGCGCAGCACCAGACGGCCGAACCGGCGTACTCCCGGGTCTCCGAGCCGTCGTAGTCCCTCGGACTCGAGACGGGTCCGATCGGATGCAGGGCGACGAAGCTGCTCGGCGTCGTGGTACAGTCCGTGTTGACGCAGGCGTACAGAGCGTGGGGGCGACCGTTTCTCGACGTGATACAGACGTCCACCACCTTGTGCTGCGGGTGAACGTTGACTATCCTCCCGGGTTTGATGCCTTCCCTGGTCACGTGCAGCGTCCGAACGAGGGATCCCCGCTGTCCGCTCGGGGTTTTGGTGGCCCACGAGCCGATCAAGAGCTCGGCTCCGGGGTGACCGACGAGGTAAGCGCATTCCTCGACGCCCGATATCACCCCTCCCGAGGATTCGACGTCGTCTCGGTCCGCGGTGGTAGAGAGGTCAATTTCGGAGGCGAGTTGGAGGGACGCCATCTGTGCAGAGCGGACGGAATCGGTGAACTTGCCTGTGCCTAGCCTGCCGAGTTGCAGAGAAGTGAGGCTCCGGGGAAGCGGGCGACAGTTGCGCTGGAGGCTCTCACGGACGATCCGCTCGCAGTCCTGTTCGGCCCTCTTGGCCCGGATCGTGGCCCGGGTAACAGGGTTGTTTCTGTTACAGCCTGGCAGCAGTCGGAAGTATCGCTTCAGTTCAGCGTCGTAGTAGAAACCCGGCAGGTCGGAAAACGCCTCGTCTTCGACTTCAGGAGCCGGCGGTGATGTATGACGCTCGCTTGCCTGACGACGCTTGCGACGCTGCTGCCGACTTTGTCGCCAGCTGGACATCGATAGCGACGATTGCAAAGACAGCGGTAAGGGCGATAAGAAGTGTGTCAACGAAAGCGAGTGTCGGCGGCGGGCGCTACTTTCTGGATGCGGCCATGTGATACTGTGTGACACCAAGGCCTATTCGTCAACCATTGATGTGACACGCTCGAAGCAGTGGCGCTATTGTTCAGCTATTCTTTGAATATATCACAACCACAGTTATTCCCACATGGATAAATTATGTAAATTATATCTGAATAAAATGTGAGTTAAACTGTAAACTGAAGATTATTAATCGATTTATGGAGTTATGTTAGTTTTTCTTCAAAGCCATCGGGCGGCCATCTTTCATGCGGAAAAATCGCGTTTCTGCTACTGTTGCAGAACCTGGCAGCAGCGTGCTGAAAACAGGTTTTCTACTCATTGTTCGTCATTCGCGGAAGAAGTTTTTCAAGACCGTGTGCAAGCGTTGAGAATTGCCGTTGAGAACACGCGAAAATTTTTATGAAAGCGCAGTGCCGCAGGGAAAATGGCCCAACTCGTCCAAAGAAAGTTTCGCGGCTTGATCAAAGCTGCCATGGCACGCCGAAGTGGTGCGTCTCTGCCTTAGCACGCTTGAATACGATCAAAAACCAACGCCGCGCCAAAGTTTTGAAGATGTATCAGATGTCTTTGCATCTTATATCGGCCACGGAGTTCTGGATCGTCCAGCTGTTCCGGCGAGTTGTTATCAATAAGGAGGGAAAAACCATCTGTACGGTTGCTCTTATGCACTATTAACCATGGTTCGGGGTCAGCTTTCAGTGGGATTTCGGAAGCGAAGAGTGCCCGTACAGTACACAGCTTTGATTGATGCTCGAAGTGCGCGAGCACGCGAACGCCTTCCTGGAAGGCGAAAACACGGTGAAGCCGAATCACGTTCGACGACGACTACGTGAAGTGTATCAAGGTCAAAGTGCATGCCAGCACAGGTTTCAAGGATTTATGACTGCACAGTTCTTCAGTGCACATTCACGTGACCAAACGAACTGTCTTTAGCGTAAACAGGGTGTCACAAAAAATAGTTTTTTTTTTTATTGCGAAATTAAACTAGGCATCGCCGAACGCTCACTCTCCGCCCAAAGGTAGCGCTAGAGGTCACAACCAGATGCCAAAGTTTCAGGCCGATCCGATACCTTATTCAAAAGTTAAAAGTGATTTTCTGAAAATTATTCGAGCCGAGTCGGCCACCATTTTTCCACTGAAATTTTCAGAAAATGACTTCTAACTTTTGAATAAGGTATCGGATCGAGCTGAAACTTTGGCATCTGGTTGTCACCTCCAGCGCTACCTTTGGGCGGAGAATGAGCGTTCGGCGATGCTCAGTTTATTCTTGCGGTAAACAACTACAACAACAAACAAAAAAAACGTGTACATTTTTTTTTGTGACACCCAGAGCCGTAAATGTAGAGAGTTTGGCCATTCGTTGGGAAGTATAGGAGACAAATGAGGAGGCGCCATTGGCCAAAAGCGGGCTGGGCGTGTTCCAGGGCGTCTTCAGAAATTTGAATGTGACCAACCAGAAGCCAGAAATAATACCCTGGCGGTGGTCGCGGGAAACAAACCTGATAATTGCATTAGAGTAACTCTTGATGGCTGAAAATATGGTACACGTGATGTGTCAATCACGCTCATCCAAAATTATGGTGGAAGAGTGCGACTAGCGGAACGATCGACATAATCCGTACGCCAAACGCCGAGGGCCGGGAATCGGCCGTCCGAGCGGTCACACTCTGTCCGCGCAAAACAGAGTTGAGCGGCGCATTCGTTTCTTACATCTTTCTGCATGATCATGATCAAAACAACGCGTGCGCCCTATTTTCAACTACAAAGAGTTACTACACTTCACCCTTACGCACTTATTGAAACCTTTGATCAGAACTGTTTCTCGCTACAACCGCTATGGGATTCTTTTCGGCTTCTGGTTGGTCAAGAGAGCATGCCAAGCCCTCTTTCCGAGTCTGCCGCACGCCCTAGCTCTGCCCGCGCCTCCCATTGACCAAACTCTCTACATATACGGCTCTGGTGACACCCAGAGCTCTGGTGACTACACTCCGTGCGACGCGACTGGCGCGCCGCCGCGCGGCCGGTACCGAAGGTAGGCAGTGAGAACCCCAGAGAAAACGAAACCGAAACCACGCCGCGTACGTCGGTACGCATTGAAGTCGGAGCGGTGCGGTTGCGCTGGGTTCACAGCATGAAGTGCTGCTTGTGCTGCGTCATTAAGTGCTTCAATAGTTATGCGGCGTCGTATCTCGAGGGGACAAAGTTTCACAGTTTTTCACCTCGCCGATGTTTTGTGGGACAGCGACAACGATGGAGCGTGCCGTACGACTCGAGAAATTTGGTCTCCCGATCATATCTGCCGCTGTGTCGGCACGGCTGACATATTCTACACTGCCGCTTTGCGTTCTGCGTTTGTTTTCGTACCAGTAACGCCTACATGTGTCAGCGCCGATGGGACGAAGTGAAATACCATCCCACACTCGCGGGTATGCAGTCCCAATTTCGTTGGAGGAATGCCTTCTAAAGAAGTTTCGTCCCCATCGTACGTGTCGATGATATTTCCGGACAAGTATGGCAAACAATCTGTACTTCATGAAGAAAGATTCGAACGGTAGAAAAAGTGACAAATATAAATCTTAAGAAAACAGCAATGAAACTCGAAATCACTGGAGAATCGACGTTTGAGTATTTAAGTTTATGTGGTGTGCTTTCTTTCTTGATCAGCCTCCTTTTGGATGTGGAATCGCTGACACCCCGAGTTCTGTAGACAACAATTTTTTTCCTCGGCTTTAGAGCCAGCTATCGCAAAGTGGTTCGAACTGGAAGTACTGTCCACTGGTCCCTTCCTACCTGTAAAATGTGCACCTCCCACGATGGGTGATATTATCTGACAGCCTTTGACGGTGAAAGCCAGTTCCCATGGCATTTAGTTACGCCGCCCAAACTAAATTTCCACCAGGTTTCGCTATGCCAGCTCTTTATGTTATAATAAGTGTTGTGCCAAGTTACGGTCATGTCAAAGTACCGAGATGTGCGCCGAAAATCAGCACCTCGCACAACAGGTTATTACACAACAGCTGACCGCAAAAGCCCTTGGCGGCCACTACCGTGTGTTGGCCGACAACTTTGTTTTCTCGGCCTTGGAACCACCTTTCGTAAAGTTGTTTCAATTGGCAGTTCAGTCCACTAGTCCCTTGCTACCGGTAAAGTCTCCACCTCCCACGACGAGTGGTATTCTCTTGACAGCCCTTTCATGGTCGAAACCGATTACCATTGAGTTACGCCGCCCAAACCAAATTTCCACCTGGTTTCCCTCTGCCACCTCTTTTTGGTATAATAAGTGCTGTATCATGTTACTGTCAAGTCCAAGCACCTGTGTGACCAAATATGCAGTTCGCACAGCCCGGTTATAACAGAACATATTGGGTCCAATATTGGATATCCCGTACAGCTTTATTTTTTTATTCGCTAGAAACATAACTTTCACACCTGCTGTCTTAACGAAACTTGGCACACTTCGTGCACAAACTTAGTGAACATCTCACTCGCCTTCAATATCATCGTTCCAGCAGTCCTACGTTTCCAGCGACGAGCGAAATAAATCTCCCACTCAGAGCATTTATGGTGGCGGCCGTCTTGCTTTTCGGAAAAGTGCTCCAACTCCTTTTTCGGCCACAAATGGAGAAATTACCCCTAATAACGACTCAAACTCAATATATAAAAAGTGGAGAACAACTAAATACCCTTTTGCCCCAGCACTCATGCAACGTCACCCTCAACGTATCGGCTCAAAAAGCAAAAGTTTCGTCCGAGCGCGCTACCGCCGCCACAGCTTGGCATGCGAAAAGGCGCCGCAGGCTGCTGGACGCGCCTCACTGTCGAACGCCAGCTCCTCCGCTAGCGACGCTGCGCGCGTTTTTCAAAGCGCCCCCTATAGTTCCCGTACGGAGTGTATATACACACAGGGTGTTTCACGAAAGGTGGACAAATTCGATATTGCGAAAACTACGCGTCGCAACAAAAAAGGGCTTGTGTCGTTTTCGTCCTGGGCCAGGAGCCCATTTAGGATAATTTTTAGAGTCTGGGATAATTAGGTTGTTAATTATTTTTGCGTAATGAACTTTTTTTAATATTGTGTTCAAGGGCATCGTTTCAATTAGAAAATTGCTCATCATCATCGAAAAACACAAAATCAACAAATTGCAGAACGATAGAAGGCACGCGAAGCATTTTACGGCTTCCTGAAAAACCGGACAAATTCGACGGGTTTCTAAGTTTCGGTTTGCTATCGAAGCGCATTTGTCCGGTTTTTCAGGAAGCCGTAAAATGCTTCGCGTGCCTTCTATCGTTTGTCCGGTTTTTCAGGAAGCCGTAAAATGCTTCGCGTGCCTTCTATCGTTCTGCAGTTTGGTGATTTAGTGTTTTTTGATGATGCTGAGCAATTTTTTAATTGAAACCATGCCCTTAAACACAATATTTACACAACACACAATACTACAACGAAATTTCGACGCTTATTTCATGGCGCATTCGTGCTCAATGGAGCATTATCACATCAGACACACCAATCGCTCGTTGAAAAAGACACGCAAAGGAATTTCAAACCGAATTAAACGATTGGCAAAGAGCACCTGGTGGGCGTCGCTAACGCCTCCTTTGTAATGCCCGTCTAGGAACCTTGACAGGTAGTGACGACCACTGCCTCGCCTCCGGCCACGACGAGAGAAAAGCTGAAGGAGGAACTTCCCACTCCCCGAGACTCTTTTTTTGTGTGTGTGTGACCCAGATGTCTACAAGATTAGAAAAAATTAACCCGTCACTCAAAACTCGTACAACGGCAACTTTGGGGTGGCCGGGTGGCCCGATCGCTGGTGTGCTTTGGCTGCTTTCAGTGGATCCTATGAGCCATCGGGGCCTATCCAAGGCCGTGTGAATGTCAACTGACCTTAGAGAGGGGCACAGCGACGCGCGGAAAGCTTATCACGGGCTACGTCCACAAAGCGGGATTGGCTGGGATAGCTCGCAGGTGTCCGCTGCTTCCGGACGTAAGGTCCCGAGACAAACTACGTCACGATTGTGACTGATGTG